AGAGTCTCTGTGTATAGTCCTAATTGTCCTGCAGCTTGCTGTGTAGACCAGGCTGGCCTCAAATTCACAGAGAGCCACCTGCCTCTGCCTCCTGAGTACTGATATTAAAGGAATATACCACCAAACCCAGCAGATACTAACCCTTTCTTTAAAAAATTTAAGATATTACTTTAGATGTATTTTTATGGTGTACGTGTTTTGCCTGCGTGTACATGTTCTCCATATGCATGCCTGACACCTGGGAAGCTCAGAAGGTGTTGGAGGCCCTAGAACTGGAGTTACAGGTGGCTCTGAGCCACTCTGTGGTGATGGGAACTGAACCTGGGTCTTTGCAAAAGCAGCAAGTGCTCTTAACCGTAGCCATCTCCCCAGCCCCTCACATATTAACCCTAACTTGCCCAGGCCGTCCACCTGATGATGTTAAAGCCTGAATTTGAAACTGCCTTCCCCTTGACTTAGGATTTCATGGACAGCCATGTATTCAGGTCAGTATTCTGACATGCAAGCCCTGGATATATACCAAAAATCTTTGTCTCCTCAGGTTTTGTAATTACACTGTCCCCTTCCATCTGGTATTTGCTGTCCTTCTGTTGTGAACTATTTTATTAATTAATATTTTCCAGATTACTTGGGGAAATATATCTGTCACAAATGTCCTAAACACCATCCTTACTGTGGCAGTGATTTCTGCCATTGCCTTCTTCATACACCGTGATATGATCCAGCTTATCTTCATAAAACTTCATTCATTTCTTTAATAAGCCACTCTCTAGGGTAGAGCTCAGTGGTACAATGCTTACTGTGCATGAAGCTCTAGGTTTAATCCACAGCACGGCAGAGACAAAACAAGGACATTAAACACCTTCACTGAACATCCTGTCATAAGCCCTGAGGATAGGAAGATAAACAGAAGTAACTCTTGCCACCCAAAAGCTAATATTGAGAAGACAGGTTCTTAAGTAGTATACAGGGGTCATCATTGAGAGGTTCATAAAGGACTTTCCAGGATATGTGGAGGAAGGAGCTCCTGAAGAAGCCGGGGCAGTTTCACAGAAAGGGTAATAGTTGTACTGAGCAGAACCATGAGTACTGATGAAGTGTGCAAAAACATCCCAGGCAAAGGAGCAGCCAGTGCAGATGACATAAGCCCGAGAGAGCGTGCTGCAGCCACTCACACCTTCAGACTGTGTGTGCACTTGAGTGCTGGACCCAGATAGTGCTCGACCTTGAGAGAGAAACTTTTTATTTTCGTCATCATTGTAAGGATTGTCAGGATTAGCACAATTCCTAGAACATAGAAGATGTTGAATTGTAAGAAATCTTAAAAACAGAATTACACAGTCCTCTTATAGGCATGTCCAACCTGTTGCCCACAGGCTGCATGTCCCAGCCAGCATAGCTGTAAATGCAGCCCAATGGAAAGTCATAAACTTACTGAAAACAGTAGATGATGGGGTTGGGGATTTAGCTCAGTGTAGCTCAGTGGTAAAGTGCTTGCCTAGCAAGCACAAGGCCCTGGGTTCGGTCCTCAGCTCCAAAAAATAAAAAAATAAAAATAAAAAAGAAGAAGAAGAACCAGTAGATGAGGTTTTTATTTTGCAAGGAGTTTGTGTTTGTTTTGCTGCATAAAGGTTGAACACACCTGCATGGCCTCCACTCTCTTCTCTCCCACATCCTCCTTTGCAGGCTCCCTTGATAGCACCTGACATCCGTTATTAAAACTTAGTCTCCAAGGAACCCTGTTTGAAAACCACTGCGAGAGAATGTAACATATCAAGATCTTGTATGTTTTAGAATTACATGATATTGTATATATGATGGTATATCTTCGTTCTTCATTTACCTCTTGAGGCAAAATTAAAAGCTTATGTTGGGGCTGGAGAGATGGCTCAGTTGAGCACATACTGCTCTTCCAGAGGACCCACACCAGGCAGCTCACAGTTGACTGAATCACTAGCTCCAGTGGTATCCATGCCTGGCCTCCGCCTCCATAGGCACCTGCACTCATGTACACATACCCACATTGACGTGTGCGTGCACATACATGTGTATACACACACACACACACACACAATTTAAAAACCGTTATGTACCAGTTTAATGGTGTATGCCTTTAATCCCAGGCCTAGAGATGCAAGGCAGGTGGATCTCTGTGAGTTAGAGGCCAGACTGGGCTATATAGCCAGTGAGACATAAGACCCTGTCTCCAAAACAAAACAAAACAAAACAAACAAAAATCCACCTCGTCTGTATATATAATAGTGAATAGATTTTTACATATTTATGTTTGACTGGTAAACTTTTTTTGTGGTTTTAAATAGACTCTGGTGGTTATTTAAACAGAGGATTTTGAGCACGTGTAATTCTTGTGTCTGTGTTTTCCAGATCGTCTGGAGGGTGACAGATCTGAAGGCTCAGGTCAGGAGAATGAAAATGAGGATGAAGAATAGACGACTCTTCGCAAGCACTTAGATGTTCTGAAATTTGTATACGACATTTATTATATTTTTTTCTTTACAGAACTTTAGTGCAATTTAAGGCTATGGTTTTTCGGAGTTCTTCCCCATTTTTTGGGATAACCAAACATTGAGTTGGAATGAGTGTGTGCATGAGTTGGGCGAGTGTGTAAAACAAAACAAGCAAAAGGTTTGTGAAACTTGTTGCCGTGTATGGAGTGCTAGGAAACGCAAAGTGCAATACTTCCCTCACCCTCGGACGTGGGAGCTTGGATCAGTGTTGAAAAGTCACGTTCATTGTAGTGGAAATGTTGGTTCAAATAAATTTCTACACTTGCCGTTTGCATGGTTGTTACTTTCTAATTAAAGAAGGTGATTGTTTTAAGATCTTAAATTTGACTTTTTATTTAATTCTTTGCTACTTTGATCCACATTTTCTAGTCATTTCTCTAACAAAAGAGGACTTTCTGTCTTTAGAAACCTTTTCCATCTGGACCTCTGTGTGACCAGATCACGTCAAAGGGCCTTTACAGTTCTCTTCCCAAGGTACTTTTCTTCACGTTGAGCTACTGTCCCGTGATTTGTGGTACCTCATTTGAATCAGTCAGAGCCTTGTGGATGGTTCACATTAACACAAACTGGAGGTGCTGTCTTCTGGTCTACCTCTCTGTCCATATTCCTGATTTCACAGCCGTCAGTTAGCTGACTAACATCCACATCCCCTTCAGACAGTCCTCCATACCCAGACCTGTGTGTGTCTTACAGACCTAACCTTTTCCACCTCCTCAGTATAATTACATGCACACATCTCTCCAATCCCTTTACGAAAGTAAAATCTCCTCTCAATGCCGGGTTATTGTATTCATAGTCTTCCCGATCATCATCTGCACAAACATCCATGGCTGCTCATGTTGAAAGCCTCTTCCAGAAGCCAGGCCCGCCGGACGGGAGGGAGGCAATTGCTGCCTCCTGATACCTTACAGATAAAAATACTTTGGCATGCAGAGCAGTGTACCTCTCGTTTAGTGAGACTAAAGGACAGCTTCAAAAGCAAGGACCCCCCTGGACCACATCCAGAAGTGGCTTTTGGACCCTGCATAGCTGCCTGATAGACGAAAGGCCAGGCCAGTGCAGATCTGATGTGGCCTGCCATGGTCATCGCAAGCATGGGGGCCTCTGTCGGTATTTGCTATACCAGCTGCTTTTGTTGAAAGCAGTTCACTTTTGGTTTAATCAGCAAGTAGCTTAACTGTTCCGGTCATTTTCAGCAACCTGAATATCCTGCCAGAAGAACTGACTGAATCAGATACTGAAAATATGATATAACATGTCTCCAGCTGGGCCATGAACATGCTCGAAGGTATAGCCAGACAGAGCCATCTCTATGAGAAACATAGACCTCCTCCCCACAAGGACACTCTTTGTCATGGAAGAAAGTAGATGTGACATGAAACCAGTAGTGTGGATTTGTAGGGGACAGAGCGCTGGAACACTCGGGTCAAAGGGTAGCTGTAGGAAAAGACTAGACCAAAGGCAATGCCAGGTGTCTACGGTGGTGCAGTATGCTGATGGGGGATGGGGTTGGTGTGTGTTCTCTTCACTTGCCTGTGAACTTGAAGCTGTCCTATCCAAGGAGTCGGGTCTGTTACCAGCAAAGCAGTTATGTAAACAACTGGTGTGTATTACTCAGGAGCGGGCCAACTAGACAAGTAGTTAAGGATATAGCAAAGACAGGACTAAGTCTTGACCACTCCCAAGAGTCAGTGGAGGAGAGGCAGGGAGTTAGGAGACTGGCCCCAAGGTTCGCTTACACACTCAGACAAAAGGGTGGTGTCGGTTTGAAGAGGTGAGGAGAGGAAATGGTGAACCTGGTGCAGAGAGGGCTGTGTCTGCCACCATCTGCTGCTCAGTGTCTGCTTTGATTGTGAGAGGAAAAAGGGACTGGTAGGTGGGTAGGTAGATTAGATAGGATAGATGATAGACAGACAGACAGATGAAAAAGCGCTAGTTCATTAAACCTCTTTAAAAACCAGCCTTAAAAGCTGGTCATGGGAGCCAGACAGTGGTAGTGCACACCTTTAATCCCAGTATCGAGGACTATGGGGGTCCAGCCCCTCGATAGTCCCCTCCCAGGGTCCGGGAAGAATCTACAACCAGCTGATAATTAATCTTTGATGAAAAGAAATGAATCTATGTACACAAAACTCCTTAGTTCATACACTTTATTATTCTGTGATAGTTCTCTCTCTACACAGCTTCTATTCTGCTCTCATGTCTAGCGCCTTTCTTGCCTGATTTCTCTATATTTATCTACTGTCCCCTCTAGGTTCTACCGTAATTCCTTCATCTAGTTCTGTCCCTTCTAGGTTCTCATCTATCTAGTTCTTTCCCCTAGCAGCTCCTCTCCCGTCTCCTTCTCTCTCATCTGGCTCTTCCTCATCTTGTTCTTCCCCATCTGGCTCTTCCTCATCTCCCATCTCGTTTCTCTGGTCCTCTCTTCTAGCCCTTCAGTCTAGTTCTTCCCCATCTCAGTTCGTTCCTCTTTAGTTCTTCCCCATCTGGTTCTTCCATTCTCTTTTCTCTTTTCCGTCCTTCCATTCTCTTTTCTCTTTTCTGCCTTGGAAGTCCAGGTGTAAAAAGGGAGGGTCCGAGCTAAATTGTGTAAAGCTATTAACGTCCACCTCACCTAGGCGGTGTCTCCTTGTGGAATTTACCTTAAGTCAGGAGACTTGCATGTGGGCTGTTATCACTGTTAGTCCTTGAAAGTTGGGCGTCATCCTAGGCAGTGTCTTCTGTTAGTCCTTGAAAGTGGCTAAGGGAGATAACTGATTCCAGAGAAAGCCTTTCCTGAGGCTGTTCTCCAAATACCTGGAATGTATATGTCCAGAGAGTGATCAGTCCACACTGTTAGCCTTTCTTAGAGAAAAGTCAATTGGAAAAACTATGAAGGCACACATGATTTTCATAACAGAAGACAGCTGATATATAACAAGATATAAAACACCAAAAACTCTTTGGAATTTGGCTTCCTCTGGAGGAATTCCCTGATCCCTCCAGGTAGTGACTTTGCCATAACCAGCTGAGTTCTTATGATATATTCCTGTGGCCTGCAGCATCCCAGCACTTGGGAGGCAGAAGCAGACAGATCTCTGTGAGTTCGAGGCCAGCCTGGTCTACATAGTCAGTTCTAGGACAGCCAAGGCTGTTACACAGAGAAACCCTATCTCGAAAAAAAACAAAAAGCTCGTCGTGATGGTGCATGCTTTTAATCCTAGTACTTGGGAGGCAGAGGCAGGATGGTCTCTGAGTTTCAGGCCAGCCAGGACTACACTAAAAAAGAAAAATTGGGTTTAGAGTATCTTGAATATGGTAAGCAAGACTCATGTAACCAATACTTGACTTGGGGGAACTGAAATGCATTAATGGATCTATCCAGGTGACTTTACTATGGGGATCCTCACTCCCAATTCTGTGTAGTAAGTTCCCTCTTGCTGCTCAGTACTATTCTCAGCCCATGGGGAGCTGAGATAGGAATAGGGCTGTAGGAAGTTGGGGGAAGGGACAGGCACCCAGAAAAGTCCATAGACCACAAGTCCAAGTGCAAACTGACAATTTACACATTCCAAAAAAAACATTTAATCAGGTAAACAAAACATGTCTAAATACACTTTTACTTATTCATAAATACTGATTTATATATAATAACCCTAGACAATTTTATCTTTAAAAACACCATCCAAAACTTCAAGTTAAATATATTTCAGGGATAACTTGGGTTTTATTTATTTACTTTTGAAGTTTGGTTTTTAACCACTTCTTCCTGCAGGTATACGTCATCAGGACAGCACCCAGGACACTCCTTCAAGCGCGTCTATACCAACGACAGATCCATTTCCAGGCACGCGGGCTTTCTGCCACACTCGGCATGATCTTGTCACCCAAGTCCTCCGGGACTGTCCTTTCCTCTGGGAGGAGCTGGCTCACCTGTCATTTTCATTGTTTCAAATAGTGGTAGATTGTGTGCCAACATTACACGGACCCAAATTGTGCTTGTGGTATGTTGTGCAGATTGATGTCTGTGCTTTGAATTCTTCCCAACAGATGATCGATCACCTGACCTTGGGCCTTCAAGGCCATTTTTTAGGCCTGGGTCAATAAGATAAGCCGCTGAAGCTCCTTCGTCTTCCTCCCATCAAATAAAGCCCAGCTGACCCACTCTGCTAAGGATGACCTTTAACCCACCTGTGCCTCCTCCTCCTTGGGCTACGAGGCTTGTCCCTTCACTCAGCATCGTGACCAAGACCTAGGGATTTGGCTGTGCCTCTCTCTGGTTTACCTCATTTTGAGACAGTTTTCCTAATGACCTTCCTGGATTCTCATCTCCTCTCTCCCCAGCCCACAAGAACAGTATCTGCCTGTCCCTCCTTGTAGTCATTTATGGCTGGTCACATCCATGTTCTTGTGGTCTTCCTCAGGTTCTGTACACTCCAGGGAAGACGAGAGCTCTGGGAGCCGGGAGCCAGACATGGTTACTGCTGGACTGAGTGGTCCTCAGCACCTAAAGGCATCGGTGCGTGCGTGCGTGCGTGCGTGCGTGCGTGCGTGGGGGGGGGTGGTGTTGGTTAAACATAAGCCATGGTTACCTTTCTAGAGCTTTATTGGGAGCGGGGAGAGAGAGAGGGAGAGGAGGGAGGGAGGGAAAGAGGGAGAGGGAGAGAGAGAGAGAGGGAGAGAGAGAGAGAGAGAGGAAAGGGAAGGGGGAGAGAGGGAGAGAAGACAACAGACGGAAGGAAGGAGCAGAAAGGAAAGAGAGGGCTGCACAGAGGGTCCACCCGCTTTTTAGGCTGGGACGCCGGGGCAGACTGATGATGCAGGCTGGTGACATAATCAAGGACAGAATCCTTGGGGGGGGGCGGGGGTTCTAGGTATAAGGTCAAAGTTGAGCTGACATAGATTGGGACTCTATACATCATCTTTAGTGCAGGGTATTGTAGAGAGACTTCTTTTGTGTGTGAACAGGTCATTAAGGCGGAAGGAAGACTTTCTCACTAGAAGAGCTCATGCTTGTCCCTACCAGCCTCTCGTGTTCCCAGTTCTCCTCAGCCTTCCCACCCTCCTCTCCGCTGCTTGCCCTTTGCCAATGTTCCTTCACTCCTATTATAGTCCTTTTACCCCAAACATCAAATAATTCCCTCAGGGCAACAACCCTGCACATAGTTAATTATCCTGATGGAATAACACAGCCTTTGAAGGTGCCCAGGTACCAGAGACCCCTGTGGAACAGGCAGGATTCTGCCCCATCAGTTACACTGAGAAGCACGCCCAGTGACTCAGGTCCGCCTGCCCCTATATCCGTGGTGGATGCACTGCAGGCATTTCTGTAGTCCACCAAGCACCCCCTGCAGGCAGCATCCTTGGATTCTGTGTCCCTATAGACGAACAGATTACAAACCTTCATTTTATAGACGCCGGAATACTGAGTCATGTGTCCCAAACACCTAGCCACTAAGTGGCCACCTGAGACCTTAACTCACACTGCGCCTCCTCACATCAACACTGTCCCTACTGTGTCCCATCTGCCCGAAACAATAGAAGATGGGCATCTGAAGTTCTCCACTGGTGCCTAGCATACAATAGGCTCTTAGATGTCTTAGGTGAGGCATACAGTGGGGCCTCATACATGCCTGTTCTTGGCCTCCTCTTGTTTAGCCACAGCATCCTTGCTGTTCCGTCCACACAGGAGACAGACGAAACGAGAGGCTGAACAGGTCTCATGAGCTCATCTTCTGGTCCACTGATAAATGTCCCCCCAGTCTGCAAATCTAAGGAGCACGTTGCCCTCTTGGAAAAGCACTCATAACAATCCTATCTCAACAGACTAGTGTGCTCTCTCTTGCCTCGGCCTCATTTTCCTCCTCTTGTCTAGACCCAATCTGCAGTACCCTATTGCAAGTACTGAGTTTATCTCGGCAGTGATGGTTTAATTCTTGGCCGAAAGATGAAATCAGAGTTACACACAAATGAGAATCTAAGAACATTAGCACCAACAGGCCATTGTCTTTACAGTCTTCCTGCCTGCCTGTCCCAGGAATAGTGGTTTGCTTAAGACCACACAGCTCTGTGCAGGTAGTTCCTGTGAACCCCAAGAGGGGTCACACACAGAAGATAAGGACCAGTTGTCAAGGCCAGGGGTTTGTAGCCTTGGCCAGGCTCCGAGGGACAAGCCTCCACGTTCATTTTTCCGCTCTCCACAGCCCATGCTGCTGCCATCTAGTGTCTGAGACTTGGAACTCCAGCTTGGGTTGTCTGGCCAGGGAAAAAACTAGGTGCTCAGCTGTGCGCACCAGACTCGATGCCTGCCTTCCTGGATGCAACAGGGCCCAGAGCTGGCGTCCGGAACACAGCACAGGAACCAGGCCAAGGGGAAAATCTTCATAAAGCAGCAGCAGAGATGGGCCATGGCCCTACAAGTGACCCTGTCAGAATCAGGACTGAGATATTTAAGCAAACAAATAGCCAAATGGCCCACCTGCCGCTACCCATGAGTCCCCGGGGAAGGCCTCATGCCTGCCACTGCTCAGAAGTTTGCAGCTAACACAGCCTAGTTTAGCTGCGATGGTGGACTTCCACACAAAAAGCAGGTGTCCTCCACCGAGGACAAAGGAGGATGGATGGGACTACTCTCCCTCTCTCCCCGGCCCACCTTCTCTCTAGCTCAGTTGAGCAAACCAGAATCCCTGAATAGGCAAAAGCATGGTTCTGGCCCCTACACATTCTCCAAGACTCCGTCGACGTGGTCACCTGCTTCGCTGGCCCGGCCCTAGGACTCCAGCTGGAACACTCAGCTCCTCTGGAGCCACAGTCCTGCCATCACAGTCTGATGCTCTGCATCCACAACAGCATCCTCTGGCTCTCTCTCTCTCTCTCTCTCTCTCTCTCTCTCTCTCTCTCTCTCTCTCAGTCATGGTGTTACTGCCCCAATGCTCAATGAGGTGCTTTATAGGCCTGCATGCTGGGTAGATAAGTAGGCCTCACTCCATTAAAAGGCGTGGGTTTTCATTGAAAACACTGAAAATTCCATTTCCTAGGTCAGTTTAGATGATCTCTCCCTGTATGCCAGTGAGATCAGGGGATCAGCCAGTAGGACTCGGAGGCCTCAGCATCCTTTCCATAAAGCCTAGGCCAGGGCAATTGAGAAAGACCTCTCTGACCTTTGAGTCTTAAGCCAATCTACTGCACTGACAGACAACCCATCCCTAGAGGGCAAGGCCTGTGCCATGTTCCACTTGCGTGCATACTGGTTAATCAGGAATACGGTCCCTCCAGACACCGGACAAGTACTAGAAAAAAAGAACAGAACAGAAATGCTGCCAGGAGTGTGAGCAGTACCTGTCCTCAGGCCCCTGCCACTCCATCCAAAACCCTGCCAATCCCCTGCACAGCTCTCCTGGAGGAGGTGGCATTGACGGAATCAACCACACGAAGACAAATGTCTTCAGTGAGCTGCAGCCCAGGAGCCACAGGAAGAAGATACTGCCACACCAGGAGCCAGGCAGCCCACAGAACACACTGGAAAAGTAATTCACTCTAGAATGGTCGCCTGGCGGCAGACATGGCAAAGGCTTTGGAGTCTTCCTTTGCTCTGTGAGGTGAAGATCGCTGAACCTAGCCTATCCAGGCTTAAGAGCGGCAGGGAAGGCGGTCTTCCTGACCACACAGCAAGCACCCAAAGCCCAAACTTCAAGTTCTGTCTCAAGGAGCAAGAGGGGTCCACGCCAAGGAATCCCACCTGCTCCCCCACCTTTGCCTCCGCTGTGGCACCCTCTTCACAGCCGGGGCTCAGTGGTGGGCATTTAGGAGTGCCCTAAACAGCCAAGTGGGACAAAGACACACAGCCAGAGCGTGCAGAGACCTCTCTGCGTGTTCACTGGGTCAACACTCAAAAGTATACCAATGCTGGTTCATCCACTGGTCATGTTCCTTTTGTTCCCGTCTCTTAAACTGCAAATTCCGAAGACATCAGAGATCAGAGCTGGAAACTATCTTGGAGATTACTCGTTCCAACTCCTCCCCACTCGCTCCCATTTCTCCAAATGGCCTAGTGACGGGACAGGATGTTCCGGATGATACCCAAAGACCGCGCTGGGCCAAGAACCCAGCCTGTGAGCTCAGCTCCAGCGCCCTTTCTACCTTGTGCCCACCCCGAAGCTGCAGCGACGGTCACCATTGCTCCTGGGAACTGAGGCCAACTACGTCTGTCAGTCACTCAAGTGCCTCCCACATCTGTGTGAGGGACTGCCCCCCCCCATTCTTCCCTGCTGTACGTGACATCACAGCCCCAGTCTTAGTGATGTGCCCTCATTTCCCGGGTTTTTTAATTTGGGAAACGAAACGCCTGGTACTCAGCCTTGTCTTTTATAGTGGTTTCTTCCTCCTTTGCAAACACTAAAACATCTGTCAACAAAGAGGCGGGTAGGGCCGGCCCCATCTCGGATGGCCTGTGGCCTGCTCTTACAAGTCAGCAGCAGGTGCCACCAAAGGCCAAATCCTAATTAGGGCAGTAGACATGGGGTGTCTGTGTATGGTGCTCCTACTCCTGAGTGCTCCCTGGACTGTCTCGGGTTTAGTCTAGTACATGTGGGCCCATGCTGCCTGGACCAATCACACAGAACCCCAGATGGTCTTGCATCCCATGAAGTGCACAGAGTAGGGACTGCTTCTGAGACCATGGGCACTTCTTAGACCAGCAGGGTGCTGGTGAACACATGATCCACATGGTGGCTTCCCTTTCCACCCATGGTCTCTAGTGCCCCCAGAAACAGCAGCCACATCTCCATCTGCTTTTTCAGTGTGCTTTGGAAGCCCCGTTCCATCCCAGGGACCCCGAAGCCGCCCACTTGGGCCTTCACAGCAGGACACTGAAGTCAGAACTTTCGGTTCTCCTGGCTGCACAAACCCATGTTTCCTTCCCAGCATCCGGCCCTCCGTGAGGGGTGACGTCTTCCAGGGCCTCGGCACAGACGCCGGCACCGGTAGCCCCACGGCGGCCCCAGTTCCCTCGGAGGCCTTCATCTCTGTTCTGCAGCTAAGATGTCCCCTTCTTCAATGCTCTGCAGGGGCAGCCTCTGATTCAAAAGAGTCCTGCTGCCTCGGCGCCCCCCGAAGCTAGCCCCTGGGACGGTCCGAGCTGTGAACAAGACCCCTGGCAAAGCCTCCTCCCCAAATAAGTTGATTTTGGCTTCAGCCTCGATGGCTTTAGCCAAGCTGGCTGCGTAACTGTCCAAGGATTTGTGTACTTCAGCTTTCACATGAAGAATGGAGTTCTTGGCAGCCTCTGTGGGAGAAGGCAGAAAGGAGGTTAGCCAAGAGCCAGGACCCATGACCATCCCGGGAATATGGCCTCTGTTGGTTCGATGCCCCAGGGATAGGAGACAAGAGATAACATGTATGGATTTTGACGTCAGATTCCCCAGGCTAAAATTCTGGACTTCCCAATTTACTACCTGAGAAATGCCAGGCATTATTTTCTAGTTTAGTTTCCCCATCCATAAGGAGAAGAAATCTCTTACTTCACATGGTTACTGTGACAAGTCAGTAAGTGAATTCTTCCTAAAATGTTTTAACCTTGATGTCTTCGAAAGAATTCTCTTCTCGCACCTCCCCGGGACAGCCTCACTCGTGGCTGTGAACTTAGAAACCTCATTCCCACCCAGGGGAAGTGTCGTTCCCTGCTAGCACCTTGCTCTCAGCACCAGACCAGCAGAGGGCGCTTCAAGACCTACCCACCCCATGACAGAGGGCAGGCTTGGCTCTGTGTGGGAGGTCTGGGGAGCAGCTGGACTGACTCATTATCCTGCAGGAAGGTAGTGCAAGCCAGGAAAGGCTGCCGGCTAGCTCTGTGACTGAGTCTACTTGGCCAGAGAAGTAGGTGCTTCGGTATCTTATCCTCCAAGCTCCTCCATCACCTCTCCCCTCCACTTGGATGGGAGTGGGACAAGGTGCAAGGAGATCAGTAATGGGTCCATATAAATGGGCCCGTATTTATTTTCACACTCAGCATTTACGCCTTAAAATCCAGGGCTCCAGCAGACTCATGGCTCCATTATGCCAATGGCTATTCTCACTCGGTGAGATGCCTACACCCTAGGGCAGCCTGAGTGGCTGGTTCCTCTGTCTACTTGTCTCCTGGGCATGTCTGGATGGGAAATCAACCCCAAGTCCCAGAGCCACACGGATGCTGAGTGTTACTGCAGGAAAGCCCAGTCAATGGACTCTCCTCCCCTAAGGCTTCAGGTCCACTCATCAGGATGGCAGCTTGGCCTCCACTCACTAGGCCATTTTTCTACTGTCCATTGGAGGTTCCTCACTCTCTCCCTGCGTGTGTGTGTGTGTGT